AGCAACATCACATGACCCCTTTAAAACATGCTACTTTTCACTTCAACAGTTTGCGTAGATGCTTTCGTCGGGGAGATCATGTTTGAACGTGTGTTCAGGGTTAATGGTGCTGGTGTTCTCATCTTCACATGGCTTTGATTGGAGCTGCTCGCTTTTCACTGCACTTGCGGACACATTGCTATAAATGTTCTGATCTTGGCTTGTTTCCTGAAATGCATTGATAAATGATCTTTGAACGTCTATTGTGTTATAACTTCATGAAGAACATACCATGGCAGAAAATATACTTACACTTCTGACTGGCTCTTTCCACCTGCATATACCAAAACAAGAAAACATTATCTCCAATAATGTATAGGACACATAATTTAAAAAAGAAATCTAGCAAGATCCTACCTCCTGCAAATCATAAGAATAAGAAGTGCAAGAAGTGCAAATATGAGCAATGATAAAGCTGTCAAAATTGAGAGGAAAGCAGTGAAGGATATGCCTGCAAAAACAAAGGAGCAGCATTAAAAATTGTTGCTGTAACGCTGAACACTGTATATAAATGCTGACCTGGACAACTATTTACAATTATCATGCCATCTCAAATTTTATGTTCTTAGCAAAAATAATTTGCTGTTGCTTCTAGCTTGTATAACCACCTTGAACCCCTTCAGTCAGGTGTTCATAAATGTCACTGTACTGAAACGGCCTTGGTCAAAGTTACCAAAGACTTGTTGATGGCATCTGATTCTGGCTCAATTTCTGTCCTCCTCCTTTTCTATCTTAGTGCCTCTTCCGATACTGTTGATCATAGTCTATTACTTACTCATCTTGATAGTGTTGTTTGGGGACAGCCTTAAAGTGGTTTAAATCTAAAATAAAATTTGACTGACCATCACCAGTTAATTTGGGTGGTTACAGGTCTGAGATCAGTTTTGTACTCATGGTGTTCCTCAGGCCCCAGTATTAGGCCCTTTAATCTTTTTATCACCACTTGGACATCTCTTGCCTCCATTATCGTTTTTACAACAATCTATATACACTCAAAATCTGGTGGAAATCTTGATGTTTGCTTCTTTTCTGATTGTGTTTCTTAGATATTTTTCTAAAAACACTTTTTTTCTCTGTTTGAACAGTATTTAAAGTTAAGTAATGCTACTCTTGTTTCCCCCACCAACTTTTACAAAGCTGCTATACATAGCAAATAAAAAGGCACTATATAAAATTAAGTTTATAATAATAATAATTATTATTATTATTGTTGTTGTTGTTGTTGTTGTTGTTTTTAAATGATCCAGATTTAGCCCACATTGTGCTCACTATGTGAAGACTTTGAGAAATGGGTCCTAGTGATTATTTAAAAAAAAAAAAACGGTAAAGAATAAGAAATTCAAATTTGGTGTGAACAAGAAATTAACTGTACAGAGATCTAAACTTACTGGAAAAGTGTTCTGATTCGAGACACTGGGCCAAAATGTTTGAGAAAAACTGAAGTGTAACATTGGTGAAACTGAACAGACTGACCTATGACGGTGATCTGTAGGTTTGTGGAGTTCATTGCACCGTATTGATTCTGTGCCTCACAAATGTATTCCCCAGTGTTCTCTTGGGCCGCAGTGAAGGAAAGCACGTGTGAGATGCCCAGTTCTTCCTCTACATCTGCTCTCTTCTTGAACCACCTGTGGACCGCAGGAGGGTTGGCATTACTTTGCATCTGCCCATGACCACCAATACAGCTCATTTTAATACCAGCAGAAAATCTAATGAAGAAGTGAAGGATGTTGAAATCTATGAAAAGACTGAGATTAGATTCGGTCTTAAATCCAAAAAGCAGAAGTAAAGTAAAATGTTACTCATTTAAAATAACCTATTAAATAACTGTATACAATGTAATGTATATATATATATATATATATAAAATCATGTTTGGGTTTCAGACATGACTTTTTGCATTAATGTTATGGCGTGCATAAGCACAAGGGTCCCCAGTTAAAAAAAATGAAAACATCAGGAAGAACAAGAAGCATGCAAAGCTGGATGAAAAAGAACCTAAAATATGTTACAATACGTTTTAAACTGCTAAGATGATACTTTAAGGCTTCTGAAATATGGGAAAAGCAGTCAGCCACAGTGTAAAAACACAACTCACAAAGGAAACTGTTGGTGTGACTGTGATCTGCTCTGCTCACACATGCTTTTACACGTTACAAATAGAGTAGAGAAAGGTTGCAGATGCAACCAAGATTTTGTGATGATAGTAAAATGGAAGAAAAAGGCCACAAATCTGACTTTTTTCTCAGAATTGCGTGGTATAAACTCGCAATTGCGAGTTAAAAAGTCATATTTGTGAGATATAAACTGGCAATTCTGAGAAATCAAGAATTGAAACGCCCACCACACACCAGCTTATTGGTGGAGAGGAGACAGAGTGATGAAGCCAATCATCAGATATGGGGATGGTTAGGAGGCCATGATGGTCAGAGGCCAATGGGCGAATTTGGCCAGGATGCCGGGGTTACACCCCAACACTTTTTCGAAGGACATCCTGGGATTTTTAATGACCACAGAGAGTCAGGACATCGGTTTAACACCTCTTCCAACAGCAACCTAGTTTTCCCAGGAGGTCTCCCATCCAGGTACTGACCAGGCTCAACCCTGCTTAGCTACAGTGGGCAACCAGTCTTGGGCTACAGGGTGATTATGGCTGAAACCACACATACATTTAGTGAGTGTGATATGACTTACTAAAATGTCTCATGCAAAAAGCAGAAGTGAAATACAGTGAGTTTGTAAAGTTAAAGCTCTAGGAGGAGTAGCGTTTGATCATTTTAGTCTCAGAAGAATAATAATAACTACGTTTAAGTCGGATTTCAGTAAGTTGGCTTTCTCAGGCCAACTTAATTATCATAAAAGAACTGAGAGCAGTGATAGGATCTATGAAAATATTTTAAGACAGATCATAAGTGCAAGAAAATATTTTTCCACTAACTTTTAGGGATCTCTTTAGGCTAATTTCCACAATCACTATTTAACATTCCCAGGTTTTGTTTCTGTGGGGAAATTTCCAAGTGTAGCTACAGTACATTTTGTACATTTCCCGCAGACTGTCTGGAAATTTTCGTGTCGCGTCCCGCCTTGCTGCATCCAGTGCAGACAGCAGCACTGATTATAAGAAGTTGCCTTTAGTCGTGTCGCGCCGCGCCGCTCGCGTCTGGTGTAGACACGCGGTGCATCCGAAATCGCGTAGGCCTGCTGTATTGAGCATGTACTACATTCGTATTTGAACTTAGTTAAAAAGTATGTTCTATATCGTGTGAATGTGGGTAGTGTAAATGATATTCGTATTATATCCACCATGTTGTTACTATCACATAACCTACCAGCATCAGTCGTGTCGCTTCACTGCCATTCATAAATCCTCTCCCCTGGCCTCATGAGATAGTAAAGTGTCCATCGAATTAATAATCCCGGGCGAAAGAATTAGGTCATCGGGTACTTTTCAACACTATTCACTAGATGTCCTTTTTGAACCTTTTGAGTTTGAGACGATCTTTCAGAGAGGGTTCATAGGCAGACTTCCTATGTTTTCGCTGCTCTTTCATTTTCTTCTTCATTTTTTCATAGCCTCCAGCTCTGTGTAAATTAGAAAAAAATTCTGGTTCAATCTCATTCACATAGGACCGGCTGTTTGCCCCCTTTATGTCTCTCCCCATCAGTGCTGGCCCAAGCCTTTGGGGCCCTAAGCACAGGGGCGGATCTAGAAAATATATTTTTTTAGGGTGGCAAAGGGGTGGCATGGGGTCTATTAGGGGTGGCAACACCAAAGCAAGCCCCCATGCGTAGTTTTTGGGGATTTATGGTCTGACATACACAGTTGTGTTCACAAATATTGTAGTACCATTAAGTAATCATCTATACTGTTTAAAATGAAAAATAAATAACAACATTTCAATATCCATCATGGCACCAAGTCAGTGCACAATATAAAAAACTTCAACAGGTTATAAATATTTCTGAGCTTATATCACTAAAGAAGATATGCGGTTCTATTCAAATTACATAGGCTACTTAGATGGTATAATCACGTTTAGTGCAAGTTTAAGAGCAACAAAAACTTTTGAATTTCCTAACATTAGAAAGAAATACAATAATATTATCAAAGCACTGAAACTGGATCAGTTTTGAAAACAATGTTTGATTTTCTGTTATTAACAGAGGTGGGAATGTCTGTAATCACCCAGAACAAACTCTATCAACCATATACTCTGGCAACACCCCAGCAACTGCATAGCAAGAGCCTAGCAACCAACTAGCAACACTTTAGCAAACATCTAGAACATCTAACTGACCAAACCATTTACGTTTTTAAACAAGACTTTAAGATAAGCCAGCATAAATTTGTCTTTCAAACTTTTCAATCTAGTTATTACGGTGGTTTTTCTTACAGGTTTTTTTCAACTGCTTACACACATTTTCAAAACTTTGCCTCTTTTTTTCAAAACTTTGCACACAAATCCAAGAATTGCACACACAAAATGCAAAATGCCTCACATCTCTTGCCAAATGAAGCACTGCATTCAAAATATCACAAACATATCTCAAAAGCAAACATTTGCAAACACCTTTGCCATCATTTTAATTCCTGTTAGATGTTTGTGTGTTACATAGAGAATTGTGTGTTGTGTTTTGCAAAAAGTGTTTTATGAAAATGGAAACTGAGTCAAAGGCCGACAATTAGTGTATGGTTTTGCAGATTTAGTGTGTGCTTCTGCTGTTTGAGTGTCAGCTTTCAGAAATTGTGTGATAAGGAAAGATTGTGTGTGTAAACGGTTGAAAAAAAAGTAAATTCTTACACACAATTCAAATAGACAGATGACTTTCCTGCCCAGTGAACACTGAGATCAATAACACTGTAACAAAAAACTCTTACTAGGATTCAGGAATTATTTTTGCAGCTCAATGTCTATTACAGTATACATAAATTACAGATACATATGTATAATTCAGCAATGAACTTTTGGGGGAAAAATCATTTTCATTTTACTACTGTAAAGTAATCTTGCAGTAGATGAAACGCACTAGAAAAGTTCAAATACCAAAGAATTGTATGAACTTGGTATGCACCACAAAACAGTAAAAAAAAAAAAAAAGTAAATTGAGCATCCTCTGCACATTCTGCCAAATTTCATTACAGTATACAATACTATGGCAGTTTCTTGGTCTCCTGACACAAGACTAGCTATATCTCTAGGCAGTCATTCTCAGTTCTGCAAAAATGCAGTACACATAAAAAAATGGGAAAAAAGTTGTTTTTTGCCAACTAAAATCAGTATATTAACAATCGAGAAAACTACGATCTAGATTCTTACCTAACTCTGCTATTAGTTTCCATGATCGGCATCTTCTTGTTGATTTCATGTTATTGTTACGGCTTATATCCATGATGAAAGTAGAGCGAGCGGTCGGACAATCGGATCACCAAACAATTATGCGATGAATATGAATCTCAGACATATCCGGACGGGATTAGATTTCTCAGAGGACTTCTGAATTATCTGAAAAGCAGTAATTATCTGATTCACGAACAAATGTAAAAACAATTCGTTAGTGAACTGGGCCACGCTTTGTGGTTTCGACTCAAAAATATCCGGTTCATAAGAGTAATTTGTTAATGAAGCCGATCTCACTGGCACGCTGCGTGCACATTTATATTTTATTCTGTGATAATTCTGGGGTGGCAGATGGGGTGGCAACTGCCACCCTAAGAAAAAGCTGTGCCACCCCGGTAGATCCGGCCCTGCCTAAGCATAATTTTACATGGGGGCCCTTCAGTGCCACCAATACGACTGATAATTGTCAATGCTTGATTATTCGCACACTATAAATCTAACACACCCATTATCGGTTTTATTTGTTGTAGCTGTGTTTCTTGCATCATACCAATGTCTGCCTGCTATGTTTTTATCCTTCTACGATTTTTAATTGTAACAGTAGCAAACCCACAAGAGTGGTCAGGTGTTAATTTGCACTTTAACATTCAAAGTCTTACAGTACTAAGTGGCATACTTAATGAGGTGTACTAAAAGTAGCTAAATAAACCAGCAGACAATGCATTTACAGAACGGAATTATATTTTAACAACATAAATTATTAAACACACATCTAAAACAACAACTCTTAATCTCCAACTAGCTAACTGAGGCATGATGATATTGGAATATAGCAAAGACCCCAAAGGTAGGCAAAGGTAAATAATGTTAAGCTGTTATCAGTACCAAGTTTATGAAACAGAAGCTTGCCAGGCTATCTTGAAAGAACGAACTCAGAAGGACGCGAGAACACAGAACACATTTTTGTGAGATGCGCTGTGATCTTGCTGCTCGACTGACAGTCCCAGCACAGTGTCAATATGTCGCTCAACAACACAGATTAGGTGGGAGTGGGATACAAAGCTGGAATGAGGAGCAGCTGACTGAAGTAAGATTATATTAAAGTGAGTTATTTATTTTTACTGTGCAGGTGTAAAATGTAAGATGAAAGCTAAAGGCTATTTAACGCGAGTAACCTGAGACATTCTCTTTCATAGGTTCACTCATCGCTGCATAGCTATGATTCTGCATAGATAGAATCTGGGAACCAGGAGCTGCATCTAAATCCAAGCTATATAACCTGATAAAAGTGTGAGGAGAGGACCATTCTGCCACCACACAGATATCCTCCAGGGGAACCCCTCTGAAAAGAGCTTGAGAGGAAGCAACACTCCTGGCAGAATGAACTCGAATGCCTAGCAGTGAAGAGATACCTCGCACCTCATACACAAGCGAGATAGCGTCCCTTACCCAATGAGAAATCCTATGTTTTGATGTGGCGAGCCCTCTGCAGCCAGCACCAAAACACACCAACAATTGGGAGGACTTGCGCCATTGGCTATAGTGGTCCACATAGAGCTTCAAAACTCGAACAGGGTAGAGCAGGTGAAGCCCCTCATCCTCAACAGAAGCAAAAGGAGGAGGACAGAAGGAGTGAAGCATGACCACCTGGGAGCGAAATGACGTGGACAAGACCTTGGGGCCATAACTGGGTCTGGGCCACAGGAATTCCTTAACAAGGCCCGTAGCAAACTCCATGCACGATTCTCTAATAGAGAGAGCCTGCAAATCCCCTACGCGTTTGATATAAACCAATGCCAACAGGAGCATCGCCTTAAGAGTCCAATAAGCTCCAATAAGCCCTCCAGGATGATAAACAAGTCTCTGGAAGGAACACTGGCAGGGCGCACGGGCCTTAAATGCCTAACCGCACTCATAAACGGAGAGACCAAACGATGTCTACCTAGGGAGACTTCATCCACATCCCTGTGAGCAGCGATAGCTGCAACAGAAACTCTCAAGGTGAGAGCCTTTCGTAACGAGGAAATATCGACTGAAGAAGCCGCGATTCACGTCCGAAGGAGGGACCTCCTCTATCGCACCCTTGAAGAGGAGTGAGGAGACCTCCTGCTGCAAAACTGAAGCATCTAAGGCACCGTTTAACGCAGAGAATCCAAGGCGACACTCCTGGCAGACGCCTCCAGGTAGCATGACAGAGGCTGCATACGGGTGCAGTTCGGAGGATATGCTAGTGCCAGGTCCCAGAGATGGTCATGCACCGGTGTAGACGGGCATGGCATTAACAGCGGCAGAGTAGGCTTGTGGTGTCCTCTTGCGAGATGGGTCGGCCCACTAGAACTGGAGTAGGGGGCACTCTCTGGTGTATAAGTAGGGGTGAAAGCCGCAAGCGTCTCCCATAGTGTAAGCAGCAGCAGCCGTAATGGAAACAGGTTTTGAAGTGACAAAACCTTCTCCTTTCTTCAACACCGGGGGGAAAGTCTAATTTTTATGTACTTCTCAGAAATGTGCCTTATCTACTTAGAAATATATTTAAAATGACATTTAAGTATGCTTGACTTATACTTAGAAAAAGTATAGATATATTTGATCTATACTTGTGCTCAGCGAATCCATGTTTTCACTGTTATACGGTAGGGGGCGCTATTGAACATCTTCTGTACAGAATTTCCAAAACACAGGCGAAGAAGAAACCGAAACAACAGATGCTTCCACGCGTAAATTATGGAATAAAATGTCGACCCATGAAGAGGTAATGATTGTCAAGCTTTGGGGTGTTGATCGACTCCATCTACAGTACGTTTTGATTATCATTCTGAATCCAATTCAGTCTTTTTCAGCATTTTGTTCAAAATGTTGTCTATTTATTTATTTTTTATTTATGAAACTTACCCACATTCAAGTGTTTATAAAAAAGAATGCATGAAGCTAGAATAAAATGTTTTAGTTTTCAAGCAGATACCCTGATCTTTCTTTTGGTGTTTTGTATGTTCAGATTTACATATAACAAAATATATACATATTAATACCTAAAGTATGATGTAAAGTTTATTTAAAAAAAACTTACAAGTATACTTGCCGTATAAACTACTAAACTATACTTCAAAGTGTACTAAAATGCTACAAGTATTTAATTAGTAAACTATCAGTATACCTATAAGTTCACTTTTAGTATAGTTGCAGAACTTGCAGTACAAACTAAAAACATAGTAGTGACGTCAGGGTGGCGCACGCCATCAGCCAGTGAATTGGTGTGATTCCATACGGGCTTCAGACAATCGGGACACCCAAGGGGCGTTCCCATTCTGTCATAGCAGCGTTGAGTGAACCTATGAAAGAGATCTGTGCCCGTCGAGACAATTCAAGGGTAGTTGATACACAATCTGTCCATGCTATGAACTTTTGACTGGTTTTATGTTAATGTTTATATGAATGTATAAGGGAAAGTGTTTTCCTGGTGACTATTATTTGCTTTTTTGAGTTTTTGAGTTTGTTTTATCCCCATTTAGCCTCGTCTGCTCCTGATCTATAGCCTAGAGCTCCACATCCGAACCCCAGGCCGCGGATTCACGGAGGGCCTCATCGGTTCACTGAGTCTCAAAACAGATGACTCCTTCTCAAAAACCACAAGCCTCACGTGAAGTGTTTTGAGATGGAGATTCTCACAAAATTTACAGTTAGAAGCGCCGTAAACAGCCTTGCGTGCGTGAGACAAACCCATACATTTAACACACTTACTGCGCGGGTCATCACTCATGAAAAACCGAGAGCACGCCGGCTGGCAGCGACTGAACTCCATAGCACTTCACCGCAAAGGGGAAACGAGGTTCCACTGAATGCAGTCACTGAAGTTCAAAGAGAAACACGAAGAAATACGCTGAACACGGGCCAGATAAATCGCTTCCAAAGGGCTAAATGACCGGAAATCTGAGGAGCAGATGGCGTGGTTGCTAGTATTAGAGTGGGTGATGTAGTGACGTCAGGGTGGCGCACGCCATCAGCCAGTGAATTGGTGTGATTCCATACGGGCTTCAGACAATTGGGACACACAAGGGGCGTTCCCATTCTGTCATAGCAGCGTTGAGTGAACCTATGAAAGAGATCTGTGCCCGTCGAGACAATTCAAGGGTAGTTGATACACAATCTGTCCATGCAATGAACTTTTGACTGGTTTTATGTTAATATTTATATGAATGTATAAGGGAAAGTGTTTTCCTGGTGACTATTATTTGCTTTTTTGAGTTTTTGAGTTTGTTTTATCCCCATTTAGCAAATTAAGACCAATAGAAACTGTTTCTGTCAAGTAGCCTACAGAACCGGCAAAAGTTGTAAATGATTTACAGTGGTGACTTCTAATAGTGACTGCTTAGTTGCATTTTTTTTTTTTATTCCATAAAGTCAAATTGAGAATTATGAGTGATGGTTGTTTGTCATGATGTTGCTGTTGTCATAATAAGGGAATAGATGCTTTTTAGGCAAACAATTAGTTTTTGTTTGGTTTGTTAAAAAAACTGAACGTTGAATGGTGTTTGTGTAATGGTTTACATCACATGGTGGCAGTATGTGGTCAATGTAGCAAAAGCCATTTTTTTCCCTTAAAGAGTGGATTGAAATAATTAAATAATGCTGAAAAAGAAAACATATTTAAGAAAAACAAATATTAAATTCAGAATAACGTGGGTAATAAGATATAGCATATGCTATAAGTATATGCTTATATTCAGTCCTCCGGCCACCACAACAACAGCAGTCTATATGTTTGTTTGCTCCTCAAAACAAAGCCTAGCTGGTTCTCTTTGTATCAGTGTTTTCTGGACTTTGCTTCATTGATTCGCTTTGTTCCAGCTGGTACAGTGGCCACAGCTTCGATTAGTGCTGCTCTCTTAACAACTGCCAGTGTAATAGTGTTGTAGGTAAGACTCAATAATACGGCTAATATATACTTTTTACGTCTTTGTTTTTATGTGCAGTGTATCTTTGCAAGTTATTTTTAATCAGACCCATTTGATATATTTTATTCAATTTGCTCTGTGTTCTAACAAGTTTACTTCTATTACTAACCCTTGTCAAAAAAAAGAGATTCACTTTAACATAATTGAAAAAAAGTACTTGTTATAGAAACAATACACTTTAAAAGAATGTACTTCAATGTGAACTGAATGTAATGCTTTAGGACACTTAGTTGCATGTTATTTACAATCAAATTCAAATGCATTATAGTGTAAATTTAAATTAAATGCAGTTCGTTGGAATTTAAAAGTGCTTTTTTCACCCGTTTAAATATATATTTGTAATTTAAAAATTAATTCTATTGTCTTTTAAATGTGGTTAAAGTGTACTGCCAAATGCACTGACACAATTTATGGTAACTAAAATATACTCATTCATACTGAAACTTGTATGTCGTATTTTTAAATCAATTTGTGATCACACATTTGTAATGAAGAATGTCGCACATTTAAAATAAATTAACTTTAATGTTGAATACACTACAGTTCAAATTATAATCAAGCACGTTACATGTGCTTTGCTATGTTAGTCAACACATCAAAAAAAAGTGTACTTCAAAGCATTACAAAGGATTATTAAAACTTCTTTAAAATAAAATGCTTAATTTGAAATTATTACAGAGGGCACTTTTTAAAAGTTGTGTTACTTGCGTTAAACATAGTCATAAATGTGTGCTCTCTTTATACACTTAAGCAGCCTTTTATTTTTCTAGTATCATATTATCTGCACGTTTTTAAGTGCACATTTACTACAATTAAGCACACTTTTTTTATATTTCAATCATTCTCATTGAACAGATTCAGTCCGAGTGTGAGCATAATTACTGCATTTTATATCAAATATTCTGTCAGTTTTTTTTTTTCAGAGAATGTCAGAGAGACAGGGACTGAGGGCAGACTCCACCCACTTCACTTTAGATGGAGCCCCATTTCGGATCCTCGGAGGCTCCATCCATTACTTTCGGGTCCCCAGGGCGTACTGGAGAGACCGGCTGCTCAAACTCAAGGCCTGTGGTCTCAATACTCTCACCACGTAAGACCGTGACATGGATTTAGGGACACTTTTTCTTTTCCCCTCAGAATCTTCTTGAAGAGTCATATCCGTCATATTCATGTTCTGTCTGTCAGGTATGTGCCGTGGAATCTTCACGAACCAGAAAGAGGAGTTTATCTGTTTCAGGAGGAGCTGGATCTGGAGTGAGTGATGAATATGAACTTTATTTATTTATTCACAATGAACTTTATTAATGGTGATGTGTTCTGGGTGATTACTTACAAATCAGTTTCTGGTATTTTGGTTTTCATATATGGCTTGCAAGTTGTATACAAGTTGGATTCTTCCTTCAATATAAGTGTTTTTTCTGGGTTTTTATATTTTTGTGAAAACTGTTTATCGCATTGATTTTAATATGCTGATTTGAGCACCGAATTATGATTTCTGACAGATCATGTGACACTGAAGACTGGAGTAATGGCTGCTAAAAATTCAACTGTGCATCACAGAAATAAATGACATTTTTAAATTTACATTCAAATAGAAACTGTTCTTTTAAATAGTAATATTATTTCACAATATTACCGTTTTCAGTGTATGACTAGTGTATGAGCCACAGTGAAGCTTGCCTCAGGAATAAACATTTCATATCACATTCCATTTTAACAAATGTATTCATTAATAAATCAAACTCTTTGCTTGATTTAAGGGCATATATTCGTCTAGCAGGGGAATTAGGCCTCTGGATGATTCTGCGTCCGGGGCCGTACATATGTGCCGAGTGGGATTTGGGTGGGTTACCAAGGTTAGTGCCTCACCTGTTATGAAAAAAAATAAATAAAAATTAATCCTAATATAACATGTTTGCATTATTATTAATGTATATATACGTATATATATTTTATTTTAAATTTTTTTAAATTTTTACCTTTTTATCAGCTGGCTGCTGCAGGATAAGAAAATGAAGTTAAGAACAACATACTCTGGCTTCACAAGTGCTGTGAACTCATACTTTGATAAACTCATTCCGAGAATCACACCCCTCCAGGTCAAATATGTGTTATTTTTGTTTGTTTCGTTTTTATTTGTTTGGCTTTGGTCTTGAATTTGTCTCCGCTGTCCTCCCTACAGTATAAGAAAGGAGGCCCTGTTATTGCTGTTCAAGTAGAGAATGAATATGGCTCATATGCGAAGGATGAGCAATACATGTCATTCATCAAAGAGGTATGGCATGAGATTAAATCTTTATCATTGACTCTGCATTATGGTGAGCCAGTTCTCTTATACCTACAGAGTTTGTTCTCAAAATCAACAGGCGTTACTGTCCCGGGGAATCTCCGAGCTTCTCCTCACATCAGACAATCATGACGGGTTAAAGTGTGGAGGGGTAGATGGAGGTACTGTAGCATTCATATATCTATTCATTTTTTTAGTGTCCCCACTCCCCACTGCTTGTTAATAATGTGACACTAACTGTTTTGCACAAGTGAAATAATTTAATGGTGTTTACACTACTGTAAGATTTTTAAAATGTTTTTGAAAGAAGTCTCTTATGCTGACTAAGGCTGCATTTATTTGATCAAAAATACAGTAAAAACAGTAATATTGTGAAATATTATTACTTTTTAGAATAATTGTTTTCTAAGTGAATATATTTTAACATTTAATTTATCCCTATGATGGCAATTTTTAGCAGCCATTACTTCAGTCTTGAAATTTCAATATTACAATTTTAATATGTTCCTTTGGTGCTCATGAAACATTTCTTATTATTATCGACAGTTGTTCTGCTTAATATTTTTGTGGAAACTATGACATGTTTCTTTTTTTGTATTCTTTGATGAAGAGAAAGTATAATGTCAAGCTTTTGAACAATAGTGTAGGTAAGTAAAGTTCTTCTACCACAAATTATATTTGATTGTCATCTCCTTTAAAAGTCTTGCAGACGGTGAACCTACAGAAACTGACGTTCGGTGATGTACCGCATTTAGCAGAATTGCAGGTCAGTAAAGATTTTTAGAATATTTTCAAATTTGTCCTTATTTACAATTATATTTACAGTATACTACAGTGTTAAAAATGCCCACAACTGTATTTTAGCACAAATGTCATGGTCCCAGAAGAGAGATGAGACGAGGACTTAAATATAAGCACTTCAAATAGTGCTCACAGTTACCGAAATAACGTCAGGCCAGTTTCGCCAATTCCCCTTTTTTCCCTTTACCAAGATAGCCCCACAGTAACAAAAAATAAAATAAAATTAATTAATTAATTAAACACAGTACAAATAAATTGGTGTGAGCACTTAACCCCCTGGATAAACAATGGTAGTGGCTTATAATGCTTTCTAAAGGAAGAACAAACATAGAATATAATCAAATAGACATTCTCATCAGCCACTTATAACTATTGAATAAATAAATTCAAGTAAATCCATTTTACACTCTGTACATCTCTATTAACATTGTTATTACTATCTTCTTCTCCAAGAACAGATTATTAATGAACTCAAATTAACATTGACATCAAAACAGTAAACAACTAGTGACCATTTTCTCTGAGTATACAGATACATTTCCCAAACCCGGATGAAATCAATATTACTCACTCTGTGGCGTGCTGCGTCACATTAGAAATTCACCCAGCTGTCACCTCACATGCACCTTCACGTGCCTTCGTTCTCCCCTCTAGTATTATTTTATTAAAGGAGAAAGAAGTTTGGTTTACTTTCCCTTTCACTTCACAACATAAATGGCATGTCCTAAACTCAACGTTCACATTAAATGTCACTCACGCTCGATTTCCGCGGCCTGCACGATTCCTCTACGCAGATATTTCTCACCCACGGAGAAATACGAAATCTGTGTGATCGCAGACTGATCCAAACTGCTCAGCGACCAGACCAACACCCAACCGAGGAATTCCCTTTTTTTCACTGTCCAAACAACAGATGGTGTTTTTCTTCCAGTCCACGCACTTCAACTCACTCGTGTCCGGGATGCCTCAATCATAAAAACCGTTCCCCCGAAATAAAACACTCTCTTTCTTTTTATTTTTCTCACTGCGCTGCTCAGACGCACGAAAGTGCCTCCTAATGACGGATAGGCATAACCACCGGCAATTCTTATGATGACTACTCTTTGTTACCCGGCCACATAAACAATATATAAATGTAGTCTACAACATATAGACAGCACAATGATATTTGAACATTTTCTTTGCTGCAGCCACAGAAGCCGCTGATGGTGATGGAATATTGGTCTGGCTGGTTTGATGTTTGGGGGAAACCTCATCATGTTTTCTCTGCGCAAGGTAAAGAATCTGCCTCATCATGCCTCAAAGTGAGCATGTGGACATTGACCACCTAGAATGGACAATTTCTATCTAAGCTTACTTTTTGCATGACAAAATGCCATAATATATATGAACATATGAAAAACAATCCGTTTGCCTTGATCCATGTCCTCTTGCCAGTATATACTGTATACATATATATTCTACTGTCTGATAAATTCTCTCTGCTTTGACATGTATTGTGTCTGCATCTCTTCTGTTATGACAGAAATGATCTCTATAGTGCGAGAGCTTCTGGATCGTGGCATCTCCATCAATTTCTACATGTTTCATGGAGGAACCAGCTTTGGATTCATGAACGGAGCAGTTGACCTGGGAACCTACAAACCACAGACGAGCAGCTACGGTTCAGTAATTTTAATATTCATGACCGCTGGGACAGTGTGTACTACCATTCAAAAGTTTGTAGTCTCTAAGATTGTTTTTTGAAGGAAATTAATTATTTTATTCAGCAAAGATGCATTAAAATGATTAAAAGTGACAATTTATCCATTGTATTTCAAATAAATGTTGTTCTAAAATGTTCTATTAAACATCATCCCTTCTGCATCTCTCTTAGATTATGATGCTCCACTGACTGAAAGCGGTGATTATACAACCAAGTATCATCTCTTGAGGAGCCTGCTGAGCACCTACAGCAGTATGTTTCTACAAAGTCATCCCTGATTACAGAATCTAATGGAGCTGAAGCTCTCTGTATCGCTGTCCTTGTCTCTTGATGTCTGTTCGTCTCTATGACAGATGAGCCAATATCAGAGCCGCCAGCTGTGCAAAGCAGAAGAGCATATGAGCCGGTGGCTGTTACTCATTATATTTCTCTATGGGAGAGTCTTCAGTGTGCAGAAACAGTAAGTGCAATGAATCTCACTATTACTTTCTTTCTCTCACTTCTTTACTTTCCCCAAAAATGGAACACAAATGAAGGTATTTGTTTAAATATTCCAACTTCAAAATGTGCATAAAGGCATTGTAAAAGTATTCCACATGGATAGAGCAGTTTAGTCCCCAGCTTCTGAAGAGACATGATCACCTTATGTGTCGAACAGATTTAATTTAGGCTTTTATTCACATGTAAACATTGATCGGCATGGGCTCATCGAAAATGTGAACAGAAGCTCAACTGTGCTTGTTTGACTTCACTGGTTTTTGCGCATCAAACATCCATTTCATTTTCCCTTTCATTAAAACTGACCCATTATACAGATTGTTTCACTAATGTCACATTAGGGAAGAATAATGGGTTTTGCGAATGCTGCTTCATGTTGAAAGGCAGTTCAATCATGACAACTCTCTGAACATTTTAGCATGGTGATGGATATGACAATGTTAATGTATTTGGTCTTGGCGGAACAGATCTGCTACGCTGCCGCTGAATTGCTGCTGTTGGTTATTGCTGTAGTTGTAGACTATTGCCGCTGCTGCAAGCAAGTACAGGAACTTGCTACTGCCAATGCATATGGCGATACGGTACCGTGAGTATTTAAGACATGCTGCTGCTGCACAAATAGCATATAAAATAACCCTGTAGCAGATCTATACAGGTGGAGCTGGGGAAGGTGGAGGGTTTCAGAGAAACTCTGAAAGCACACTGCAGGAATCTCAAGTGAATGGTAGCCAGCCATATAAATGCTTTTATGCATGTTTATGACAACTGTCATTAAGTGTCATTCGCTCAGTTATGTAATTTTTAATGCAAAGATGACATTGTTTGAGATGTCTTTGTTATGGGCTATGGTTAGGGGTAAGGGTAGGGGTAGGGTTAGGGTTAGGTCAAATAATGTCATATTTGCATTAAAAATGACAACTGAGCGAATGACACTTAATGACAGTTGTCATAAACATGCATAAAATACCTTCATATTCATGACGTGTTTCATGTCATGATTATGTAGGTGTCATGTCAGTCTTATGCACACCCCTTCAAGTAAAGTGTAACCAAGACAAGTTTTGTTTTGCTTTGTATTACAGGTTTTCTCGTTATGTTTAAACATGCAAATGAGGCATTATCTGATTAAATATGTACTAATTTGCATAAGTTTCCAGAACATAAGTCTTAACATTGGATACATTTTAAAATAGTTTTTTTCATTTTCTTGACATATTGAAGTTAAGGGTTTTACAGATTTTGGATATCTCTTTTTATCACTCCATGAGTCAAAAGCAATCAAATGGGAATTTCAACATGTTTTAAAGAATAAAATGTTATATAAATGAGGCTAATGATATATGAACAAACCATGTAAAAACTGTAAACACCTTCAGAATATAAACAAGAATCAAATGTTTGTAAAAACAAAGTTTTTTACCAAGTTTTTGCTCATAAAAATGTTTGGTGTAGGTAAGTGCTACTAAAGTGGAGATTTGGCTCAGTGCAGAAGAAAAAGCTCATGGTCTTTAAAGATATGTATTATAATTAAAATCAATTAAAAAAGACACAAATAGATAATGTGTAATAAAGGCTTAAATGTGTATTTTAGATGTTTTCTTTCCATTAGTCTGAAAGAAGGCATGGAAGCAAAATAGGCTAAAAATAAAAGAAAGACCATTGCATTTTAAAAACTTGTTTGTAGCGTCTTGTCTTTTAATATTCCTCCTGTACTAGCTATATTAACTGTAATTAATCATGGAGCATATAAATATGCACAACATGTATTACTAGCAAAAGGCAAGGCAAGGCAAGTTTATATAGCACATTTCATACACAATGGTAATTCAAAGTGCTTTACATAAAATAAAGTAAAATAATCAAAAAATAATCACAAAAATAAAACAAGGAATTTAAAAACTTTGAAAATGATTTAAAAATTGATTTAAAATGAATTTAAGACAGTTAAAAATAGAAAATGATTATACATAAAATACAGTGCAATCATTTCGGACATCGCACAGTGCTCATTCAATTAATGCACAGCTAAACAGATAAGTTTTGAGTCTAGATTTAAATGTGACAAATGTTTTAGCACATCTGATCTCTTCTGGAAGCTGGTTCCAACTGCGGGCGGCAAAATAGCTAAAAGCGGACTCCCCTTGTTTTGTGTGAACCCTTGGTATTTCTAACTGACTCGATCCTAATGATCTGAGTGGTCTGTTAGGTTTATATTCAGTGAGCATATCTGCAATGTATTTAAGTCCTAGGCCATTGAGTGATTTATATACGAGTAAAAGTACTTTAAAATCAATCCTAAATATAACTGGAAGCCAGTGTAAGGACCTGAGGACTGGTGTAATATGCTCAGATTTTCTGGTTCTAGTCAGAATTCTGGCAGCAGCGTTCTGGATGAGCTGCAGCTGTCTAATGGTCTTCTTGGGAAGGCCGGTGAGGAGACCATTACAATAGTCCACCCTGCTGGTGATAATAAAGGCATGAACAAGTTTCTCCAAGTCTTGACTGGAAACAAAACCTCTAATTCTTGCAATGTTTTTGAGATGATAGTATGCTGATTTAGTTACAGCTTTGACATGACTACTGAAACTAAGGTCTGTCTCCAGAATCACACCAAGATTCCTGACTTGATTTTTAGTTGTTAGACCCCTAGAGTCAAGGTATGCATTCACCTTGAGAACTTCATCTTTGTTTCCAAATGCAATGACTTCAGTTTTTTCCTTGTTTAACTGAAGAAAGTTCTCGCACATCCAACTGTTAATTTCATCAATGCATTGGCAGAGGGAGTCAATGGGGCTGTAGTCATTTGGAGATAAGGCTAGGTAAATCTGGGTATCATCTGCATAGCTGTGATAGGCGATTTGGTTCTTTCTCATTATTTGACTTAGTGGGAGCATATACAGGCTAAACAAGAGCGGTGCAAGAATTGAGCCTTGTGGGACTCCGCATGTCATGGACGTCCACTTAGACTTATGCTCTCCTATACTCACATAATAACCTCTCCCTTCTAAGTATGACCTGAACCATTTAATTACCATGCCAGAAAGCCCAACCAAGTTTTCCAGTCTCTCTAGTAGTATGTTATGATCGACAGTATCAAACGCAGCACTGAGATCTAGTAGTACCAGCACTGATATTTTGCCAGATTCAGAATTTAAGCGAATATCATTTATTATCTTAATGAGTGCTGTCTCTGTGCTGTGATGCGGTCGAAAACCAGATTGAAAATTGTCCAGGTATCCATTTGAGTTTAAGTATTTGTTCAGCTGATTAAAGACTACCTTTTCAATAATCTTTCCTATAAAAGGAAGATTTGATATTGGTCTATAGTTGCTCAATATGGTGTTATCAAGATTTCTCTTTTTCAGAAGGGGTTTAACAACTGCAGTTTTCAGGGAGTTTGGAAAAGTCCCAGAAAGAAGTGAGGCGTTCACCACTTCTAAGAGATCTGCTTCCAAACAGTTAAGCACCCTTTTGAAAAAATATGTGGGAAGTGTGTCAAGATAGCATGTTGACGATTTAAGGTGCTGTACTATTTCTTCCAAAATTTTGCTATCAATTTCTTCAAAAGCAGACATAGTATCTTCTTTTTGATATTGTGGTCGAATATGTCTAACCTCTGCATAACTTGGGGATGTGCTAATCGCCTTCCTGATATTATTGATCTTCTCAGAAAAGAAGGAAGCAAACTCATTGCATTTGCTGTCGGAGAGCATTTCACTGGCAATCTGATTTGGGGGGTTTGTCAGTCTCTCAACAGTAGCAAAAAGAGTGCGAGTGTTGTTTAAGTTACTGTTTATAAGGTTTGAGAAGAATGACTGTCTAGCTTTGCCTAGTTCCACATTGAAAGTACGAAGGCTGTCTTTATATATGCTATAGTGTATTTCAAGTTTCGTCTTCCGCCACATCCGCTCAGCTTTTCTGCATTGTCTTTTCATACTCTGAACTGCTGTTGATTTTCTCCAAGCTGATTTCTGTCTGCCAGTCTTCCTGCTGACTTTCAAAGGAGCAATGTCATCAATAACATTCTTAACTTTTGAGTTAAAGGAATCAAGGAGAAGATCAACAGAGTCTGCAGAAATGCTTGGTGTTAAAGATATAGCCTCCATAAATAGCACACTAGTGTTTTCGTTAATGCATCTCTTTCTGACTGAGACCGATCTAGATTCAGTGGTAACAGAGATCAATATATCAAAGAAAATACAGAAGTGATCAGATAGTGCTACGTCCTTAATAACAATGGATGAAATGTTTAGACCTCTACTGATGAGTAAATCTAGAGTATGTCCCCGATTGTGTGTGGGTTCATGCACATGCTGAATCAGGTCAAAAGTATTTAAAACAGTTATAATTTCTTTTGTAGTTTTGTTTTCTGCATTATCTATGTGAATATTAAAATCCCCTGCAATAGCAAAACAGTCAAACTCTGAGGAAATCATTGATAGCATTTCTGTGAACTCTTCAACAAAGGCTGGAGAGTATTTTGGAGGCCTGTAAATAATGATAAACAGAATGCGTGGAGCACCTTTCAACACAATCCCTAGATATTCAAAAGACAAGTACTGACCAAATGACACTTGCTTGCATTGATAGACATCTTTAAATAGAGCAGCTACACCTCCACCTCTCCTAACAGTCCTGCAAACACTCATGAAAGTGAAGTTAGGAGGGGCTGTTTCATTGAGGACCGTTGCACTGCAGCTGTCTTCTAGCCATGTTTCATTTAGAAACATAAAATCCAGGTTGTTTGTGGTTATTAAGTCATTGATTAGAAATGATTTATTTTTTAGTGAGCGAATGTTTAAAAATGCTAACTTGATGGCATTGCATTTTGTCTCAACAGCAATATTAGTTTGATGCATAACAGGCCGCAGATTAGATAAGTCAGCCGTACGGCTTAAGAAGGCCTTAGACTTTCTATCACGTGATAAAACAGAAATAGAGAAAACTACAGGCACACTGGGTTCCCGCTTGTTCTGTAAACATTTGTGAATGTTGCTGCTATTATAGCGGGGACCCGACACATATCACTGAGAGCTGCATATCACGTAAGCGCTATCCTGATCCCCAGTACCACCCTGGAAGGGCTCCAGATCCTCAGTTCCGCCCAGGAAGTGTCCATGTCCCTGAGTTAGGCCCAGGGTGGGCTCCTACTCTGTCTGCTCCGCCCTGGTGGGCTCCTGTTCCATTTGTCACGAATCCGGTCCTTGGCCTTCCGGCCGATTGCCACTAGGGATCATTCTACCATTACATTGACTCTCACACTACACAGACTGTTGTACCTCACCACGGACTACAGTTCCCATCATCCATTGCACTGATTACACACACAGCTGAATCCAATCAGACATGCTACATAAACTATGGACTTCCTCTCTCTCAGGGCCG